GCGCATGCAAGCGGCGCATTGCGGCATCCCATCCACCGCGTGGAGTTGTCTATCGAAGCTTGATGGCACAAATCGGTCAATGCTGGCTGGATGCACTCGCGGCTTGTGTAAATGTAACCCGTTTGCTGTCTCGAAAGAGGCATCGCAGAGTGTGCACGCATGTAGGGCTACAGGGTGTTCAGCTGCTTCAGGGAGTTGTGATAGGAAATGCAGCTTGTCCCGGATGACTTGCAAAACAGAAGGCTCGGTTGTGATATCTGGGCTTCTGGCTGCGCGTCGCTCAAGTTTGCGGAGTCTCTTCCTGAGCTTGACCTGCATCGCTTGAACCGGGTCCTGAATGCTATAAAGCTGGAAGAGATCCTTAGTGGTGATGCGGCTGGTATGTGCTGGCAAGTTCAGCACTGATCGCACCTTGTAAGCATGCCAACTGCGTAGCTGCTTTGCCGACTCCTCGCTGAGTCCGACATCTGAGAGGCCTGTCGTCAGTGTGCTCAGGACTGTGCTTTGCCAAACCTTGAGTCTCGCCATGGTGCTCGCATACCGGCGATTGTAGACAAATTGGCGGACTTGATGCAGCTTTTGCTTTGCTTCCCCTATGCGGTAATGCAAGGACTGCAGCTCGAAGTGGTTGTAGGAGATCATAACCCCCAGGTACTTGCTACAGGAGACCCACTGGAAGGCGGGGAACGATTTATTGGGCCCGATGCGCCATCCGCGAACCTGCTCGCCCTTGGAGTTTATGATCCAGCAGCCGTGTTTGTTCATCACGTTTTGGGATTCTCTACCCGCTAACTTCACCAAGATGACGCACTTGCTAATGTTGACTCGTAGGCGGTGTTTGCGGACCTCCTCAAGTAGCGCTGCGATGAGCGCATGAATGGCCCTGAGGTCCTTGTCAGAGCGGATAGTCCGATGGAGCGTGAGATCATCGGCATATCCTGTCAGGAATTTCAAGACCTGCTCAGCACCGAAAAGGTCAACCAGAGAGCGGAAAAGGTCACCTGTAAGGAACGAGAAGAGTGTGGGGGCGAGCTTACATCCTTGTTTAATGCCTGCTGTGGTTTCAACAGAGGTGGAATCTCCCTGCGCGTGAAGGACATAACGAGACCCGTCATGTAGAGCCTGAACGAGGTGGACTGTGTCCTGATCTGCCCCTTCTCTCTGAAGAAGGTCGATGATCTCTTGGCGAGAGACTGTGTCAAACGCTTGGCTGAGGTCAAGAGCAAAGGTGAGGCCGCCGACTAAGGCTGGGGCCTGTGTGCCTTGTTGCAAGGCATGTCTCGTGGGGTGGGCCTGTTCTAACAGGGATCGAGCCTCACGCAAGTGATGCACCACGCGTTCTAGCGCGTCTGACAGCCCCCGACCTGGTAGATAAGCGAACTGTGGCATGTGCTTGAGGAACGAGAGGGTCAGTGGTTGAAGCGCTTCTCTGGCCGCTCCCGCCAGTCCCTTAGCGTCAGGTCTAAGGATACCCAAGGGTCTCAAGTTTGCTGGTTTGTCAGAGGGCTTGCCCGGCTTGGGAATTAAGCAGAGATCAGCGTCTACGAGGTCGGATTCTAGACTGTCCTCGGCCTGCTTGGATGCTACGTGTTTGGAGAGGACCGGTGCAACGATGTCGCTACACAGTCTCCATACAGCCGCAGGTGCCGCTCCGTCAGGAACAGCTTTATTAGGCTTGATGGAATGTATGTGAGCTGCTAGTTTGGGCGGCTCCAAAGCAGGGAAAGCTCCATGCATTGTCCGTAACGGAGGGTGGGCCGCAAATACCTGATTGGCATAGTCCCTGAGGGCTGCTAGCTCCTGCGCTGGACCTAGCAAATGTCCTGTGTTGTCCTTTAGCTGAGCTCTGCGCGCAGGCTGCCAAGGCTGCAGCTTTTTGAGGGTCTGAAAGGAGATATGTTGGTCACCTTCAGCCAGACTCGCGTCCACCTCCGATATGAAACTCGCAATTCGATCTTTCTTTGCTTGTTTCACAGCCTGGCGGTGTGCCACTTGCGCCAGCTCAGCTTCGGTGTCCGGCGGACGTGGCGTGTTCTGATTAGGAGGCTGTGCCATTGCTTTAGGTGACTCGATCAGCTGTGCTGAGGGAGTGGTGTTCGCAACCCTGTCGTGGGTGCGGGCCCGCCACATGCGACGGGTTTCCAATTCCAGCGGGATCGGTCTTCGTTTGGGAATTTTTGGGAAAAAGCGTTCTGCACCTTCCAAAAGCAACGCATTCCATGCCTTGGGGTCCTGGCAGGTGTCAATTCTGGAAGCGATCCAGCTGTGCAGTGCCTTTGCCGTATCGTCCTCCTCTCTGACTGAGGCCTGTAGAGCTAGTGAATCGTACCGGCGCGTGCTGGGCTTGTGGGATGGGAGCAGCCAGTGGTGTTGGAGGGGTACGTCAGCTTTGAGTGGGTAATGCCCTCCTTTCTTCCAGCTGCCCAACGGACAGTCCACCCAAGGGGCTGACCGTTTGGCTTTGCCTCCCGCCGTAGATTCTTTGGTTAGAATGAAGTCAATTTGCGACTCCACTCCTCCTTGTGAGAAGGTAGCTATATGGTCACATTGCCAGGTGTTAAGGGCAACCAAACGCAACCTGAGCAGCAGATTAAACAAGTTGGATTCGTCAGGGCGGTCCTCAGTGGGTGGCTTCACGTGCGTTCCCACCAATGGAGAGCTCGGACGCAGGGAAGTGTTAAAATCGCCTGCTACAATAAGGGAGTCCCTCTTAGGCACCTGCTTGATCACCTTGGACATGACAGATAGTACCTTAGCACGGTCGTCCTTATTGGACTGGATGGTCTTGGCAGAAGACCAAGCGTGTTGGTACACCGCGACGACAACCAGCCGAGTACCTGCAATGTCTGCACGAGCTTCTAAGACCCTACCCGGGCTCCACTCCTTCCAGCGTAAGCTCTTGGGGACGAACTTGGGAGAGAATAGGATCATGACTCCATCAGCGCGAGTCGTGGATGGAGCTCGCGGTTCTTGCCGAGTGTTTCGCTTCGCTGCTTGTTTAGGCCGGGTGTTGGGTTTGGTAGACTCCGAGGCTGAGGAGATACAGTACCACCCAGAAACGCTGAATTCACTGGTCTCAGTCCAGTGCGTTTCCTGCAATATGAGGACGTCGCAGTGATGAGAGGCTTCAGCTGCTAGCCACGTTTTGAGTTCGCCCCATTGCTGTTGGCCTAGGTGGCCCGCGTTCCACGAAATAACTCGAATGGATCTTTCCAACCTTCCTGCCCTGCGGGAGGCTGTGCCATATGCAGGGGAGTCAGCAGTCTGTGACTGAAGCTCTCTTCGAGTGGGTGGGGGGCGTACCCCCAGACGATCAACCAGGGTAGGTGTCAGAACCTGCCCTCGGTATGGTACGGGCCCGTCACTACGGACTGTCCTTCTACATGCTGTCTTGAACGAATTCTTACGAAGAGATGCAAAGTTTTGTGAGTGCACTGGCAATTGCGCCATCCGCTACTTTCGTCAAGAGACAGAAGCCTAATGACTCCCTCCACCGCGCGGAGGTGGAAACCCTACCGCCTACCCAGTGTTGCAATGTTTTAAACAGAGTCTGGGCCCAGGAATTGGGACCTGGCGGCTCAAAGCAGCTCCTGTGAGAAAAGGGAGAGGACCATGGCGTAGAAGGAGGCACAAACCTTTACTGTTCAGAAAAGGGCCCGGTTGGAACCTCTAGCACAGCAGTTGCGCCCCAAGCCTGTTCGAAACCTCTCATTCAGCGCGGCCGCTTGAGCACTTGTGGCGGCTACTACTACTGCAATAACAACAACAACAACAACTACTACTACTACTACTACTACTACTACTAATGTTGCTGCTACTGCTGCTACTGCTACTTGCTACGACTACGACGACGACTACTACTGCTACGACTACCGTTACCACTACTGTCACAACTACTACCAATAACACTACTACTACTACTACTACTCACCTGTGTGCTCCAGCCGAGACCCTGAGCAGTAGTAGTAGCAGCAGCAGCAGCAGTAGTAGTAGTACTGGTAGTAGTAGTCGTAGTGGTAGTAGTAGTGGTAGTGGTAGTGGTAGTGGTAGTGGTAGTGGTAGTGGTAGTGATAGTGGCAGTGGTAGTGGCAGTGGTAGTGGTAGTGGTGGTAGTAGTAGCAGAAGAAGTAGTAGTAGTAGTAGTAGTAGTAGTAGTAGTAGTAGTAGTAGTAGTAGTCGTACTAGTACTACTAGTACTACTATTACTAGTACTACTAGTACTACTCGTACGACTCGTACTACTCTCACTACTAGTATTACCAGTACTACTAGTACTACTAGTGCTACTAGTACTACTAGTATTATCAGTACTACTAGTACTACTAGTACTACTTGTACCACTAGTACCACTCGTACTAGTACAATTGGTAACACTAGCACTACTTGTACGACTAGTACTACTAGTACTATTAGTAGTACTAGTAGTACTGGTACTACTAGTACTACTAGTACTACTAGTACTACTAGTACTGCTAGTACTACTAGTACTAGTATAGTACTTTTGCTGGTACTAGTACTACTACTCCTGCTTTTACTTACACTTCCGCTCCTACTCCAACTTCAACTCCTACTCCTACTCCTGCTCCCCGCCTACCCAACAAGGACCCGGCCAAACAACAATAACAGGAAAAGAAGCTGGCCATGGAAACATTAAGATAATGGTCACAAGCAGGCCTTCCGCCCTCTTCCCAGTCTTGCCAGTTACCTGCCAAATCCTTTTGGCCAAGTGCCCTTTTTCGACATGTGGAAGCCCTGACTTGCAGTTGGGGTTGCACCGAACAAATAACACCATGTCTTTCAGTAATTGCGTGATGGTCTTTCGCCAGAAGTAAGTTCGTGAGCCACGGCGGATCTGAGCCAAGTTCTCGTTGCACTGTCAAATCGAAAGCCGGTAATCCGACAAATCCCTCGGGTCGTTTGTTTTCGAATGAGTGTTCATCATTCGCAGGCTGCAAAACGGCTGTGGGGGGCAAGGTTCTTCTTGCCGTGCTTCCGTGAAGGTACGGTTTGGCAATCGAGGTTGACGACTTCACACGCAAGGTGGGTGCACGAAAGTCGACCAGGATCGACAGTCGCACGCCACTCCTCAGGTGGAGAGCCTTTGCCGTGCGCAAAGCCTCGGAGGCCTAAACGAGGCCTTGAATCCTTGCGATGTCGTCCTGGCCCCGGCGAACTCGTCCGTTGGAGTCTTTCTCGCTGCTTTGGCCTCGGAGCCCGAGGTGTCGTGTTTGAACAACCTCAAAGAGATGCGCTTCCGAACTCGGGACGCCGGGAAGCCGACACCAGCAGATGATCGCACTCCAAACATGTCGATTCCGCACCCTAGGGAAAGAGAAGTCTGGCACTACAACTTGAGCCTCACGTCCTCGAAACATTCGAGGACTTGTTGCGAGAGGTACCGGCGAGCATGTTGGTTCTTGGTTTGGCTCATGTGCCAAGCCTAAACGAGGTCAGTGTGATGATGGGCACGGCTTGTGCCATTGCATCGGCACGCCCTGTGGTGCAGTTAGCCGCTGTGGAAGGAGTAAGTAGTGTGCGTCTGCAGCAAGCAAGTTGACGCAGGTCTATCGGCTTCATTCTTGGCGAGCAGTTGCCGTCTTTCGTCAGGCTCTGCCAGATTGCAGAACATGTGTGGCAGTTTCACTGTCATTTGAGGATGTTTTGAATGCACTGCTCTTGAAGGACTATGCTCAACCGGATGCTTTAGTTGGAAGATGTCCATGCCTTAAGAGATGTCCTGCTGCATTGTTGCCGGCCAGCGGGTGCAAGGTTCCGTTTTCACAGAGCCTCTCATTTCTTTCACGGCACAAGAGTTTCGCTCTGCTTCGGCCTTAGATGGCTCGTGCTAGCGTCGTAAGTGAATGCATACCGAGCCGGCACAGATCTGCTCGGGTTCTGAAAGGCTGTCATGCTCGGCATCACGGTGACGGAGGCTGGCTCCCCGGCAGCGCACGCAAGATGGTCTGGCCACAAGTATGGCGACGACGAAGCTTACTATTGTGACCATGTTGTTGCGCCACCACCATCATGGAGACGATGTATGCCCCTTCCACGGGCTACAGTGCACACGTGCGGTTTGAATGTGCAGCGTTTCCTGATTTGGAGAATCCGAAGCTTGGCTGATGTTTGATGACGTTCCGTACAGTTCGTGACTCCTCGATGCATCTGCTGCGTGGGACCGTGTGACATGTTTCTGGACCATCCAATCCAATGCCTGATCAACCATACGACAAAGACGACATGACCAAGCAGCATAAACAATGGGAATAATAGGACACCTGGGGGCATCTCAATCGTTCTCTCCTCTCCTCCGTGGCGTACTCGGCATACTGACTGAACATGAACTTCCGCAATGGTGCCGGCCGGTTCACCAGGAACTCCTGCCTCCAAGAATGCTTGGTGGATTTCTGTGTGTGGTAGTGCATCGAATGCTCTTTGTAAGTCCAACCCACACATTAGGCCCCCGACCGGTGGTACCTCGGCGTTGTCCAGCACTCTGAAAGTATGATCCCTGTGCTACTGCTACTCCTACGCTACTGCTGCACTACTGCTACTGATACTACCACTACTATCATTAATACTACTGCTACCGCTGCTTCTACTACTACTACTACTGCTGCTCCTGCTGCTGCTACTATCATCATTAGTACTACTGCTACTGCTACTGCTACTGCTACTACTACTACTACTACTGCTACTACTACTACTACTACTACTACTACTACTACTACTACTACTACTGCAGCTGCTACAACGATTACTACTACTTCTGCGACGACGACGACTACTACTACTGTTACTACTGGTACTATTTTTACTGCAGCTACTCCTGCTGCTACTACCACTACTATTACTACCACTACTACTACTACTACTACAACTACTACTGACTGCTACTGCTACTACTACGACTACGACTACTACTGCTGCTACCACTACGACGACGACGACTTCTACCACTACTACCCCTACTACCCCTACTACTTCTTCTTCTTCTTCTACGACGACGACTACTAAAACTACTACTGCTGCTGCTACTGCTACTGCTCCTGCTCCTGCTCCTGCTGCTGCTTCCTTCCTTCCCCTCGCGATGAACGTCTGGGTCCACCTCGCGTGCTGGCGAGCAGACTTCGTCTGGCTGCACGAGGCAGCGTTATCTCAGATAACCTCGAGAGTTCAATAACGCGCTGCCGCGCCGCCCCGAAGGGCCAAGCACGCGGTTTGCCCGAGCCGTAGCTCAGCAGCATCAGCGCAACAGGAGAAGATTAGAATCACAGTGGAAGTCAAGTGGGAAAAGGAAAGACATTGCTATCAGCATATACAGAATGGAGAACTCTATCAGGCCTCACTGCCCCTCACAAGTGGCTCATGCGTGCAGAAGTTCATCACTGCCAGCCGCCAGCAAATGTGAGCAGCGCAATTCCCGCATCAGCGTGCGATGAGGTTCAGGCTCACTGCAAAGAATCACCTCAGCGAAGCAGGCGTCAGCAACAAGAATTAGTCCACAGGATCATCCTTCAAGCAGCCGTCATTTTCGAGCCCATAGCCGTGACTCACTCCAAAAATCCCAACCGAAAGCCCAGCTTTTGCAGGCCAGCTCGGCTCCGCTCGGAGAGATTGTCCTGCTGCTGCTCCTGCTACCGCTACCGCTACTGCTACTGCTCCTGCTCCTGCTCCTGCTGCTGCTGCTACTGCTGCTGCTGCTAGTGCTCCTGCTCTTGCTAGTGCTATTGCTAGTGCTGCTGCTACTGCTACTACTGCTGCTACTACTACTCCTACTACTACTACTACTACTACTACTACGACTACTACTACTACTACTACTACTACTACTACTACTACTACTGCTACTGCTACTGCTACTGCTACTGCTACTTCTACTACTACTACTACTACTACTACTACTACTACTGCTACTACTACTACTACTACTACTACTACTACTCCTGCTGCTGCTGCTGCGACGACGACGACTGCTATCATTCCTACTACTGCTACTGCTACCGCTGCTTCTTCTACTACTATTATTATTACTACTTCTACTGCTGCTACTGCTACTGCTACTACTGCTACTACAGCGACTGCCCTATGCTCACCTCAGCTATCACGTGGATTGCAGTTGACTTGTTTTCCGAGGTTCTGAAAGTAAATGAGCCGGGGGTGGAGATGGAGCCTGTTCCCGGCTTGCGCGACGAGCACCTGAACAGCACTGAATTCGATTCGCCGCTCAGACCTGGCCGACTGGCTGCACAATTCTGGAAGGTATTTGAGCCTGAGAAGATCCATGGCACAAGCGGTGCAGTTCGGTAATCCACCTGCAGCCCCGACTTCGCCCCTTGAGAAGGCGCAGGCTGGCAAGCGCGAGTCTTGTCATCTCGTGCTCTTTCACATCTTCACAGCTTCACAGCTTCACAGCTGCGAGGTGCCCCGCCGAAGCTCCTGCGACAATGCAGGCTCTCGCCAAGCACACCACCGCTTTCAGCCGTTTTTGCATCCAAACACATCCGCAAGTATCCGGATCCAACTTCATGTGCCAGGAATTGTGGACTTCTCTCGGCACGGCCTGGGCGATGCCCTCCTGGTGCGCCGCGTTTCAGAATTCTCTTGCTATTTCACCGGTGTTGGGTCCGTCCAACGCTTCTCCGACAAATGCTTTTTCCTCGCGCAAGAAGCTTCAAGCACTGATAATGCTCCGGTCCATCGGAGCCAATTGGAGCTGTGCTGTTTGCAAACGCTCTCCTATCCTGGGGTCTAGCGCTTGCTACTCTCTATATCTTGTCGGTTTGCAGAGCTGGGTTGAGGGTCTGCGAGTCGCTAAATGGTAGCGTCAAAAGCTTGCCGCCAGCTTTCTCCTATCTCTTATCGTGTGTTTCTCTCACTTCCGAGTTTGTCCGCTCCGGTTTTTGAGTTTTCCCACTTCTGGGCTTCGGGCCTGCCGTTGCGCTCGGCTCCAACATGCTACTCTCTGGGCTGTAGATTTTTGAGAACCGTAGGCATTCCGTCACAATTCGTGCAGATGGGCGGTTCAAAGAAGGCTGCAAAGACTATGAGGCAAGTAGAGAGACTTTGTGATGTGTTTATGCTAGTTCTTGTGCGGACTGAAGGACGAGTAAACTGGAATGATGCTGTTGACTCAAGTTGGGTCCTTTGCTTTTGCAAAGCCTTTATCGGAGCGCCGTTCGTGATGGCGTCCAGTCTTGTAGCTGCGTCCTGTCAGCATCATCAGGCTCCAAAAGAGTCGAAATCAGACCAAAGCCCAAAGCGAGGTCGTACGCGTCGTGCCGAGGCCTTCTTGCCGCACCCATTGTTCCGAACCCGTAAGGACGTTCCCTTCCGTTTTTTGTCCGTTTCTTGCAGCGACATGTTGTTGAGAATGCGTTCCCGAGTATCAGGACGGCTATGCTCCGCACAATGAACCACGAACTTGCTTCTTTCGGATGTGGTTTGCTGCACTTTGAAGCATGTGTTTCTACCTTCTCACAGATCCTCTCGCCTTGATAGCTATGTGTTTTCCGTGGTTCCTGCTGCTGGTTGGCACCTTTTTCAACGACCCTTCTGGCTTCCGAGACCAGCTCACTACCTTACCTGGCAACTTGCCCATTCTGGTTTCAGAACTTGCCTCGCAACCCAATGAGTCTTGCCCTGCGCATCTGTCGCCCCGGTGCACGTTAGATCCGATCGGTTTTTCCCTCTTCAGGAGCGACGAGCGGCTGAAGCTTCACAGCCCAGTGTGGCTCATCGCCTCGGAATGGGAACACCTAGTTTCATGGACATGGCTCGATTTCAGCTCCCAATGGCTCCCAAGCTGAGATGAGCATGGCGATGGACTGGCTTTGGTCACGAGGCGCCTGTTGCAACATCCTGTGGTGGCAAGACTTAGAGATGATGTCCGAGCTTGAGGTCAGTCCACATGGACCTCTGAAGCCTCTCAAGCACCAGCGCGACCGCACAGAAGCGGTGCTAGTGTGCGGGCCCTCGATGTCGCAGGAAGATGGCTTGAATCTTTTGGGGCTCCAGGCTCCTCCATCCTCACGTCGCGACCCGCGACTCGGCGAATTCGTATTCCTGTGCAGTGGCATTTGCTGCACTTTCGAAGGCACCGCGTGGCGGAGCCTCTCAAGCTGGACATGCGAAAGGCATGCAGTGCATGACGCTACATGTGCGTGTGCATCTACAAAATTCAAGACAGTAATTGTCCACTCACGTATACATCCGTCCCGCCTGTCTGTCGATCAAACAGTCAAACCAGTCAATCAAAACAATCAAGCCTATCGCGTCGATCAAATCAAGCAGATCAACCGGAGTCAGTTATATCAATCAATCAATGAATCAAGCAATCCTTCTTGTCTATGAATCTGTCTAGGTATCCGTCGATTGGTCTATCGGTTTATCCATCCATGCACCCGTTTATGTATCTGTCGATCTATCTTGGATCGATCTTTTGATCTATGGATCCATCGATCTGTCGATCGATCTGCTTGTCTGTCTACCTACCTCGTCTTGATCTCTTTCTCTAAACATGCGTCTGCATCGAAGTCCTGTCTGCCTCTTGCCGGCCATGTTTGCATCCGCTTTGTGTTTCCCTGTCCTGGGCCAGGGCCAGCTGCCACGCAAGGCCGTGCCCGGCTTGGGCTGCACCCTCAATCCACGCTCGCAGCAAAAGGGCAGCTCAAAGCTGGCATGCCCTTGCAATCAGGTCCGAGCCGCCAGCCTTTGCGCTCCTCCTCCCGGCACGGAGCTGAAGGTCTCGACGGAATTCAGTGCATCAGCGCGCCAGACGACGTTCCCTGCATGGAGATTACACATCGGGGGGAGCGATAAGCTGGCGAGCACACGGAACTGTCACGTGTTTTGCTTTGAGAAAGTTAGGCTAAGATGCTTCGGGGGGCTTGTTCTAGTCTTCGCATTCGATTCAGGTAGGATAGGTAGGCTGTCTCTACCGTGAGTAGTTTTCGCAACGGGAACGCGCCGACCGTCACACAGCAACTTGTAACAAGAGCCTGTAACAGGAACCTGGGCCTTTGGCTTCAAAAGTGTTGGGGTTCAGGCTTGAGGGTTTAGGGTTTTCGGGTTTTGGGTTTAGAGGTTTAGGGTTTATCGGAGTCAGGTTTCAGGGGCTTAGGGACTTTACCTTGGTGACAAACACATATGCACACATGAATGTATCTGCAAGCAGTGCAACCTTCCAGGACAAGTTTGGATTTTTCGACGACAAATCCAAAATATACTGCGACTGTCAGCCTGCCTGCCTGTCTGCCAGCTTGCGCCTGGATGTCAGAAACACGCATAAACACTGGTTGTGTGTCCCCGGCGGAGTATCCATGTATCAGCACACGCATGTATGTGTGTACGTGTCCTTTGCCAGCATAAAGCTTCTTACCCACGCCTTGTTTGTTTACGATGGCAGTTCCTGTTCCGGTCGTCGTTCGTGTTACGCTCATCGCTGGTTACCGCGGCCGCACGTTTCCGTTACAGTGTGCGAGAACAGGTTTCCCTTATTCCCACAGTGGTTCCCGCTACACCCCACACCCCTCGACCGCTGACTACTGAATTGTCAGGGCACACCGCGGGTGGCTATGGCAGCCGATGGGCCATCAATATAGATAGTGACGTGTCGCATTGCTGTTGGAATGGCAGGTCGAGTCTCAAACCGTCCAGCGAGCCGCAAAGCTATTCGCAATCCGAAATACCTTGTTCCGCAATGTCAGCTTCATCGGGCAGACCCCAGACTTGGAGGAATCACCAGCCGCCAGACCGTCGAAAAGCAAGCAGCTCTCGTGTTTCATTGTGAGGCCAGTGATGAAGGGTCTGGCCACTCCACGAAACGATAGCTTACACTTTCGTCCAAAGGATGCGATTCCAGAAATTGAGAGTTTGTGCGGTGAAAGTAAGACGATATGCAAGTGTGCACCCAGGCCATCTGCGCGGGCGGAATTCGAGACTCCAGCTCCCTTGACGATGGTCCGGTAGTTTTGTTTTGTCATCAAAACAAGGCTACTGCAGTGTGTGCGAGCGCCAGGCCGGCCTGGGACCGGCTACACTCTCCCGTGCCGACTCTCCGGAAACACCACCAGCAGCGCGGATGCGTCGACAGCAGGAGTTCCGTTGGAGTTCATGGCTTTCTCATCGGACGAGATGAGATCGCTTGCTCGAGGAGGCCGTCGTGGTCGAGAACGGCACTGCGGGCATGGTGCTCTCTCATGACCTTGCCGTTTGGTGTACTCTTTACTTGTCACCGCTGCGAGTCTTTGGCAGGTACTGTCTCTGTCAGAGACTGACGATGCAAGTCACAGGCCTGCATGAATGCACCGCTGTTCAACAGAAGGGGGCATGGCTGTGGCTTCACCGGCTTGACAGGAGAGATTCTCGGACATCCCTTAACTGGGGCTTTTGTTCATAGGGAATTTCTTCGAGAGTTAATGTCAGGTCGAAACGGCCATGTAGTTCAAACTCTGTCGCACCATGGGCACGGCCCCCAGCACCCACCACAACCTTCATAATTACTCTGCAAAACAGTATACAATATATGTTTCTTGGACTGGATGCCCGTGCCCCTGCGCTGTAAATGAGCGTGGCTTCCGACTCGGAAGCCATCTTGCGTTGCGTCGCTTGAAAAATGACCAGATGATAGTGCAGTACAAGCTCAAATCGTGACTCGACAATGATTGCAGCTGGGGATGCAGAGATCAACTTCGCCGCGCCTGCAGTAGCGTTTAGGGCAGTCAATGCACATTTAATCAGACTTCTTGCGGAGTCAGGCAAGTCTTTGTTGGCGTTATTGTGCTTTGCCGCAGAGCCAGGCAACCATGGCTACATCTGCACTGGCTGCTAGGGCCATGGATCCACAAGCCCCACAGCGTCAGCTTTCTGAAGGGTTACACTTGCAGTACCTAGTTGGTTAAAGCTCGCATGCTCCACGAACCGCCTGCAACTCAGTCTGCTTTCTACTCTGCACTGTTGCTCTGATGTGGCATTCATGTGGTATGTTGCATCAGCAGTCGTCAACAACGTGTTGTTTGTGCGGGTACCCTCGGGTCACGTTTTGCCTGGCAAGCATATTGACAAGTCATATCTGGTGAGAAGCACTGCCATGTATGTGCTTTGAGTGCATGAACATTGATGATATGCGAGGTCCATGTGATGTCCACCAAGAAAAAAGTCCGCTTCGGTGGGCCACCTCTCTCTCTCTCTCTCTCGCCCTAGCTTTCTTTTGCAGCCTCGGCTTTCTGTCGGTGCAAAAGGCCAGATTGATGCGGACCCCGAGCAGCTCGTGCTCATAGTGACCTATGAAGCGGCGTCTTGCAGAAAGTCACGTCGAGTCGAGTGTGCGCTCCGTGCTGGGGGACGGGGAGGTATCCTACACGACTGAAGTTCACCACTTCGATGAGTATGGGAATCCTGCAGCTTTGTCCTGTTTTCTCCTTGCGTGCCTGCACTTGGTTTGAGTCCTGAGCTGTCTGGTTTGCTCGATGTTCTGGCGCCTTCAAGCAAGGTCAGATCAGAGTCGCAGCCTGGGCAGAAAATCATTCGTGTTCCGCGAGGCATGCGAGGACCAAGACTGCGAACAGCTTGCCCACCCCCCCCCGCCCGCCGGTCGCTTTCTTGTCCCCCCGTACCCGTACCCATTACGATTTCAACAGCTGGCAGGATCCGAGGTTCGCGGACTCACTCAGGAGGTCATGGAGAAGTTTAAGAAGTACATCCCAGTTTCGAAGGCTTGCTGCTCCGAGACTCCTTGCTGACAGCCTTCATGATGCCGAGTTGCATGTCAGGCTGGCGAAGTTGAGCAATTATTGATGGCGCTGGCAGAGCACGAGGCTTTCAAAAGACCCTTGAGTTTATGCTACCATCCTCGTTGTCACTCTGCTCCCGCGTGTCCTCGTAGTCTAGCAGGCTTCTGGCTAAGACAGGAAATCCGATTGCATGCTAGTGGGACAAACCCTCATTGCATTCCTCGATTTCGTGATCATCGTCAGCATCACTATCAGCACTACCATCCACCCACCACCCATCACCCACACACCAATATCATCATCGCGATATCGTCTGCACTGTCCTCCCACTCGGTCGTGGTGTTGGTCACCTTCATCCCTGTTCCAGTACACATGTCGCACGTGCGTCAGACCTCCGCTACGGTAGCAGTACATGCTTCACTCGGAGCTTCAGATCGCTGGAGTATTTGGGTGTGGTTGTTCTGCGTGGTCTTCGGGCATGTAAGATGTAGGTAATTCACTCCGAACTCTGACCTGGTGCGGCGACCCACGTCCTGGTTTCAGATTGAGGGGAATAGCTGCTGACCATCGAACGCACACGGTGAACCTGATCTGCCACGAGCATTGCCGGAAGCGAAGACAGCACAGGTGAGTCGTAGCATGTCGTAGCATTGAACAGTCCCCGCACACTTCATCTCTGATCGACCAGCCAGGCAGGGCAGCTTGACCAGCGCCAGCACCCGCTGCACCAGCCACAGCCTGGACGGCAGGACAGCGGCTGTCATCTGGTAGGGCGAGCTTAGCACTTAGCAAGTTACAATTTGCTGTTGCCAAGCTTGGCTAGTGCTCAGACAGAACACATTTGGCAAAGCCCTTATGATTAAGAAACACCTCCAGTGCAGCAAAGCTGTGCAGGCAACATCACAAGCCCCCATCGTCAGCTTTTGTCGCATCATGAAACTTCTGAAACTTCAATGTCGATTCGAAATATTGCTAGCTGTGCGTGCGCATGTCGCCGTTTGGACTTTTTGTCATCAAAGCCGTCGTCAGCTGCCCAAGCATGTCACACGATTTGAAGGAGCCGCCTCCTCCGCCGCCACCGCCTCCACCGCCAGCCCCACAGCAGCGTCGGCAGGAAAGCGCGACAGACTTTGCTTGCTCGATCGGAGCGTCTTATGCCCTTACCAGCAGGAGCCTTTGCTACCGCAAGCAGATGTTCGGAACATCGAGGATTATGCTGACCAGCTCTACGAGGCTGCAGAAGTGGAGTTGTTTCAAGTCCCTCCGGCTGCGCAGTTTTCCAGGACCGCATGGAGAAAAAGGTCGTCGGGGTGAAACACATCCTGAGAGTCTGCACAGAGGCACATGCAAAGAAAGCCAGGCTGTTGCTAGCTTGACGGCTCTGAGTTTCTCATGTGGACCCTGCTCTGCAGCCAACGAACTTGGAAATCCTGGCCGAGCACGAGAATTTGTTACAGGCAGAGCGAAGCCAGCTAAGCATGCTTATGTTCGGAGGACCCCAACGTGCTAGCAAATCGAGGTGCTCAGCCGCGAGCTCCGGGAGAACTCCAAGAAGAGTTTCGACCTGTCTGTGGTGACTGCCATCCTGGCCCAGTGTTGACCCCTTTGCAATTGTGTCTTGCAGACTCCTGGCTCAGTATTCTCCTTGGCTCCAGCGGTAAGTGCTTCATTGCTTCATGCCTAAACATCTAAGAGTGGCACCCAGGAGCTTGTAGCACAGTGCCGCAGATGGCAAACAACGCTGCAGATCACGTGATAGCCAATGGATCAGACTTTCATCACTGTGGCCGGTACTCCTCATGTAGCGCGGTGCCGTGGTCCACCAGCTATGGCCATCAGAAGGGCTGGATAGGACCCGGTGCAGCCATTGCCATGCTACTGTGAGGCTGTAGGTTTTGTGGGTGTTGTCTACCATCTTTCACTATGTTTGGCGGGGCAATGCTGTGAAACTTGCCGGGTATGTTGCAAGGCCTTTGTGGGGCTTCCGGTTAAAGCTCCGTTGCAGCTCCCGTTGCAGCTCCGTTACCCCTCATACCAGAACTCTGTCACAGCTACACCTGGACTCGGTCTTCGCCTTCGAGAGAGCGAGAGAGCGAGAGAGAGAGAGAGAGAGAGCCGCATAAGTGCGTTTAAGTGCCAATGAGTCCGTGAAATCACTTAGTCTGCCTTGTTAGCCTTTTGCACAAAGCTGCCCACACAATATGGGCGGCGCCAACGCGCGGGGCTGGGGGTTAGCTCCCGCGTCCTCTACCATTGCGACAGAAAGAAAGAGCCGGAGGTGTGCACACGGGAAAGACAGGGAGAGAGAGAGAGAGAGAGCTTTAGCTCGCTGCGCAACATGATAGCCATGGCAGAGGGGGAGCTAGAGGAGCCAATGCCGGGGGATGTCTCCCAGGCACAGCTCCACAAAGCCAAGCAAAAGCTCCAGGCAGCCTACAAACAAGTCGACGCTGTCATCCTCAAAGCACTGGGGGAGACAGAGGCTGGAACCTGCTGGCCTGGTGGAACGACCTCCTGGCACCAACCGCGCTCTTGGCGACACGCAAAGGGGAGGCAAGACGCCTCAGCAGCACACCCCGCCGATGTCATCAAGCTGGCTGGCAGCGGGGTGCAAGAATGGGAGGCGCGAGCAGACCAAAAAGGTTCCGCTACAGCAAGGTTATTGCGCTCGGCCGCCCGTCTCCGGCACGCAGTTCCCTTTATGAACGACCAGATGCTCCTGCCGGTTGTTGAAGTACTACACGCCCTTGAAGCCTGGCAACAAGCCCAGTTCGGTGGGAGCCATGCTGTGCACGACGGCACCCAAACCGAAGCAACTGGGGGGGACCCGGCCCAACGACACTGGATGCAGAGACGGAGGGCAATGACGGAGGCGCCGAGACACTGCCAAATGGGGGGAATGGGGACTACCTCGTGCAGCCCGAGAACGCCCAGGGAGTCCTGAACCAGCTTCGCGGGGAGCACAACCAGGCCACGACCGACGGCAACCCCAACACGACTGGAGAACCGTTGCCGGCCGAGAGGGAGAACCATCTCCCTGCAGAGCTATCGGGAGAAGCACCGGGTGGCCCGCAATGGGGAGGCCTTACAGCGACACAGGTAGCAGCCATCATGACGGAGAGTTTTCAGGAGGCTGTGAACGTTGTGGGGGACATGCCGACGTCGTGTCTTTTGCAAGTTTGTCAAGCAACTGGAGCGGGTTCCTTCCATTTATTCGGAGATAACGAACGGCCAAGACTGTTTTCTCGCACCACTGCTTCCCCCATACTCTGTCCTTGTGGTTGCGCGGCAGTTACTCCTCCTCCGCGTCCGTATGGTACCTTTTCGTCATAATGCACGGCTTTGTCAGGGGACCAACGGAGTGGTCGTCTCCTTCACACTTGACGTCTGTGCTAAGTATTTCCGGCAGTCTCTTCCGCATCACTGGCTTAGCATGATTCTTTTACTTCCTATCCTAAACCTGAATCAGGGCAGTCTCAGCAGGTTGCCACAGGTGTGCACAAGCACCCAGGAGCAAAATTTCAGCAGGTGTTGCAAACACAGTGGCCTTAATACTTACAGCGAGGTGTTTCCGTGCTATTGTATCTACAGAAGGCGTAATAGGAACCTTGTTATACTGTGATTTGAATAGGAACTCGATCAGTCTAGAATTGTCGAGGGAACCCTGAAGACTGAAGATTTTTTGTTAGCATTATTGATGCCCCTGTATAACAGGCTTACGGTGTAGGCTCTTTACGAACCTCTTCACTTGCCTCTTTGGGCAGGTGTTTACGAGAGGTGTCTCACAAGAAGCAGGGCCGACCAACAGAGACATTAAACCCACAGGATACTAGATTCAAAGGCTTGGTCGGGCTTGTGTGGCTTTTCTGGACAAACATTACTTCTAAACCCTCAACCCTAAACCTCTAAACCCTAAGTTTTAAAAACCTCGGTTAGAGTCGAGGAATGCTGAAACAAGCGAACCTGATCCTACACCTTAAACACTTTCGCGGTTTCTCTGCTGGAAGAGTTTCGGATTCGGCGAAAGCCTTCTGAACTTTGATTTCATCAAAAATCCTATCCAGAACCCATGGACTAGGCATCGAAATGGCTTCCCATCCCCGTGTCTACAGTGGCCGCACAAAGGAGGGTTGGAAGGTCAGAAGCAAACTTGCTTTCCGTGAACAGCGTCGGCTTTGGCGACGGCGAGCGAGCCATGACCGCGGGAGCCGAAACCAGTGAGTAAAGTGAGCGCAAAGGTTGCAAAATTCAGACAGAGTGACAAAGGTGTACAGTCCTCGGTTGCAGGTGATTGAGGGGCATGCTACGATGTCCTCAATCCCGAAACCTGCACAGCGCTAGTAGCAGTACAAGTTTGGTGCTGTGCGGGCAGTTTTTTTGCTTGCTGTGCCCTAATCCTGACGGGGCGCTGGGCCAGACCCTATTCCAGGACCTACCTGCCCGAAACCCAGATCCTTCCACTCTGCGACTGCGAGGGGGGATGACGCACCTCATGCGTCGTACTTTTGCTCGCTGTGCCGTGCTGAAACGGATGGCACACTTTTGCTTAAGTGCTTTGGCGTTGGAGTCAAGTCCCAGCTAGTACTACGGCCTTACAAGTACAACAAGGGGTAACCCGCCGATCTTTGTGAATGCATATGTGTGCTTTTATGGGGAACCCGGCAGCCCCAAACGATGACTGGTTCTATTGATCTGGAGTCTGGAGAGCCTGCATTGTACTCAATTGTATTGTGTGTTGCTGCTGTAAAGAAGGGATGTTGCCAACCATACAGCATTTCTGAGGGGAAGCTTTTGTTGAGGGACTCAGAATTGTGCCATAAAGTTCGCGGAGATGAGGCCGGGACGCGCGCTTCGTTCCGGGTTGTTTTGGGTCCCCAAGAGACGCACACTCCTGCTCATACCGACCGATTGGAGCTGAAAAGACCTTCTTCTCCAGAGGAGGGGGCGCTCTGTCGCGGGCACATTTCGTGCGGAAGCAGCGAGAGAAAGAGCGAGAGAGAGAGACAGAGCGACACGATTGCCCCTGGCCAATGCCCTGAGCAAACCAAAGCACGTGTTACAATCGGCCTGGCTTGCTTGAAGCAACATTTCCGCTCTGAGTTGCGGCAGCACACAGGAGCTCGATGCAAAAACGCTCGCTCTTGCTTGTCTTCTGTCTGCTTCTCGGAGTTTCGTGTGCATTTAGGGCATATTGTGTGCAAGCGTTGACAGCTGAGGTCTCTCAGAAATCAGCTTTGGGACTTATGACGCAGAGCGAAAGATCGAGCATGCACGCCTCTATGGGTGCAGATCCCAGGGACTCAGGGTGTGCTGGTCATAATGCATCAATGCAAATGTGTGGGGAATCGTTATGTTGCTTTGATATGCCTGGCAAGAGCTAAGTTATCTTTGCCAATGTCTGGGAGTTTCTTGCGACGCCCAAGATACAAAAGCGATTCAAGAGACAACAAGAGTCGTGTGTGGAGGTCGTGCGCCACTTGCTAAAATCATAGCTCGACCGGCCGGCCTAGAGCTTCGGGATGCCTTAGGACACAGATGGCCAAACCATGCCAGAGCCATCCAGTGCCCACAGGCACCTAGGCAGACAAAAGCACACTTTGTGGTGCAAGGGTGCTCGCCCTTCGAGTTTGCACAGTGCTGGCCAGCAGCCGTATTAGGGTTTAGTTTAGAGTAAGCATTTGCAGGGTATCAATCGTCCTGCTCCGGCTTTGGAACATGCCAAGAGCCAAAGCCTTCCCCATCCGAGCGTGCAGTAATTTCGGGCTGGCGGCTCTTCCTTGCGGTTTAGCACCTGCTGCGCGTTTCCTCGAAACGTTTGGAGTTTAAGGCCACGTTCAAGGTTCACCACTCATCATTACTGTTCTTTTGTGATTGTATGAGGTGGGCATGCGAGGGTGCAATCACAGGTGCTTGAGGTTGTCGAGCTTTGGCGCACTGTGGCAGTCCTTGCAATGCTCATGGACTGCAAAGATGCAAAGACTGACTCGAAAATCTAGACGGGCAGAGGTTCCAGACATCCTAAAAGTTGACTTGAAAGCTTTGGATTTTGACGAAGGCAATGAATTTCTCGAGCTTCCTGACGGTTGAAGGTTGAAGTGAGCTAGGGCGGGCATTCATCCGCGTATTCATCATAAAGCGGAGTCGTCTTAATACAATACTGCATGGCTCTGCAGACTAGATTGCAACTTCTACAAGTTGGGCATTTTTCACTTCGGAGATGCTCACATGCTGCCCGATCCCTGGCAGATGCCCTTCATGATGATGTGTGGGGGGTAGTCAGTCAAGTCTCAACAGAGAACGATGAATCCGTTGTATTGACAAGTCCAGACGGAACGGCAGCAAAGAAGCCGTCTCCAGACGATGGGATGCTTGGTGCAGGGAGGGCGATTGCGGCTGTAACACTGTCCTAGAGGAATGCATTTTGCATACCTGGGTTCGCAACTGCTTCCGAGGCTAGCCGTCGTGTGCGGAAAAAGTTCGAGTGCGATATCGAGCTCATCAGTCATGTGTCCAGCAGCATCTTTTCGTCAGCTGGAATGTGATTGTTACAAAGAAATCAAGCCCGGTTTTCAGCACAAA